TTTCAGGAATGTGATTCCTAGGAAGACTCTACATGGAGGAGTAAGAATCCTACTAGGATTGTGCCATGCGGAACCTATAAAAACTCATAACATCACCTATGGAGAGGTAATACAACTTTGATTCCCGAATACGCAGAGCTTTTTGTCTATTTGTCTATTTTGCTGACTTAGGCATCGGAGAGGTATCCGGCACACACCCACCGGCTAGCTCACGTTTGTGTTTTCAGGGAGTAAAGCGACGTCGTACGGAAAAGCGCTGACTTGATCAACAGGATTATACGAGAAAGAATATTTCTTGCTCGTACACTAACAATCTTTATACTGATTTGAATTCTGCAAACTACATTGAAAACAACTAATGCTGATGTCAATTATGCAAATCCGTCACACTTCGCATCAAGATGGTAACACCCATATATACTGTATTTGGTTGGGAGATTTGAAAAGAAATTTGGAAAGAAAAAGAGAAAAGATAGGTGAAATACATTTCACCTAGTTATATATGCCTTTTCTCTTTCCATTTTTAAATCACTTCTCAAATTTCCTAACTCAACACAGCATTAAGGTGTTAGACTAATGTGATTCCATCTCTCTGCGCGCAGTGCTAGAGAAATCACCGTACTAATCAGACCTAGATTGACAACTCCACTTTGTCACAACATTCTTATAAACTTGTATAGGTTAAAAATCATGTCTAATAAATGAAATTGGGGGTGTTTGTTTCAGCTTTTCAGAGCCAACTTATGGCTTTTAGCTTTGAAAAAGTTATTTTGAACTGTTTAGTTAAACTTATTTCAAACAGCTTCTGATTCTAACAGTTTATTTTAACTCAAAAAAACTGATTCTGAAAAGCTGCTCACCCCTTGCTTCTGATTATCAGCTTCTGCTGTGGACATGTTAATTTATGATTATATTCTTAAATTTTTTTATTTTTTATTTTTTTAAAAATAGAAAAAGGCTCAAATGGACTATAGATTATTATTACTATTTTTTATGAGAAATGTAGACAAACAAAAAATAAAAATTAATTGAAAAAGCTATTTCACAGCTTATTTAACAAACACTACTCAGCAACTTAAATCTATAATCCAACAGTTACACCATACAGATTAATAACTTCTGATTAAAGTCATAATCTATAATCTGTTAAGTTATAATTTATAAGCTGTTTTAACAGTTACACCAAACGGGGCCATTGTTGTCTAATTGACTCCACCTATAACTAAAACTCAAGTTGCACCCACTGGTGATTAATGTTCTTGATCAACCCTGATCATTCACGATCAAACCTAATCGCCTTTAATCAATCTTGATCTCTACAAATTGTGTTCAATCCCGTCAATTTATTTAGAATATAAAAATTTTGATCATAATGACGAAATCGCAATGTTGAAAACTTTACACTATGTTTGGATATTTAGGTGAGAAAAGAAAAGAATGGCCTACTTGATCAAGAAAAGAAAAGAAGGGCCCTAAACCCTAATTCTAACCTCTTCATTTTTAAAAACATACACTTGCCATTTTCTTTTTGGAGACCAGTCCAAAACTAAACCTTTTTTTTTAAATTTGGTTGTAGTTGGATTCTATATATACATGAACAATTCACTTTAATTCTTAAAATTTCAGAACCGTTAAAATCAATTCAAATCTTGAATTTACATAATTAAGATTGAGCCAATCCAAACCATATACACCCTTATTGATTAAGATATAACTAGCAACTTCTCAAACGATAAAATTTCTAGTCATCAACTTTGATTTTTCATTTTTTTTTTAATTGACCTATTTGTATTGCCATCAAGAAGCTACTCTCAATATTTGATGACAAGTGTTATTTTCACACTCAGAACATAGGTTTTCTGTGCATACACAAATTATTATTTTTTTTGTGCATACACTAATTAATTTTTTTTCTTCCTAAAAACATACATATTTATATGTAAAAAATATAAAAAATTACCTATAAATCTTATCTAGAGGAATGATAATCCGTTTAGTTCCAAAATTTTTTATAAACCAATTAGTTTTATTGATTTTGAAAAGATAAATTTAATATATTATTTGAAAATTGGATTTACGAGTATACTCTTAGTTTTGTTATATTTCCTTCTTTATTTTTTATTTTTTTATTCTTTTGTGTCAAAAAGATAAGATACACAATATATGAGAATTAAATTTGGGATAAATTTTTATATGAAAATATTTTTTATTTGGAAAATATTTCAGGAGTATAAAAATTACTTGAAATATGGGATTCTTCAAACATTCCAAAAGAATGTGAGATTCTTCAAACATTTCAAAAAGAGTACAAAAACTCCTTAGTAAGTTTTGGATAAATGTATAATTTCAAACTGTAACACTCAAACAATGTAACACTTCAAAAAAATTCGTTAGTTTACATTTCTCAAACATAACATCCAATATAACAATCTAAAAAAACTCCTTAGTGTAACACTCCAATGTAATATATAAAAAAATTCATTTGTTTATTTTTCCCAAACCTATCACTCCAAAAAAAGGATACGAAATTTTTCAAGCTAATCCAAAAGGATGTAGGATTTTTCAAACCATTTTAAAAGGAGTTCAAAAATTTCTTAGTAAACTTGGGCAAATGTATAATTTCAAACTATCAGTGTTATGTTTGAAAAATGTATAGTAAGGAGTTTTTTTAGTGTTTTTGTCTGTGTTATATTGAAGTGTTACGTTTGGGATTACATTAATTGGAGTGTCACGTTTAAGAAAAACACACTAAGAAATTTTTTTGTGTGTTATATTTGATTGTTACGTTTAAGAAAAATACAATAAGAAGTTTTTTTAGACTATTACATTATTACGTTTAAGAAAAGTACAATAAAGAATTTTTTAGTATTTTACATTAGAGTGTTACATTATTCGAGTATTACATTAGAATATAACATTTTTGTTCGTAAAGTGAAATTTGTTCCAGAATGAGAAAAAATCCAATGAGAAAAAATCCAAAACTTCTATAGTGCGAATTGTCCAAATATATTATTTCACATTTAGAAAAACTCACTTTTATCTCTTCAAAATTAAACCTAAATATGTAAGTGATTAACTTTTTATATAATTTCCACTTTAATGAGACATTTGAATTCATAAAAAAAAAAAGAATACGAAACAGTTGGTTCTTCACCCTAAAAAATATTCTTAATTTCAATTTTAGAAACCCTAAAGCTTGCCCTAACTATAGTCGATTGACAACCTGCTGCCATCACCCCCTCCTTCGATCCCAACCAACTCACCCTCACTGTCCACGACCATCCTAATCCCTTTCCTGCCATGGATGGCCATCCGTGGTTAGATTTGGGAACAGAGAGGCTAGATCACAAGCAAGAGAGAAGAGACAATGAGTTTGTCACAAAAAAAAGCTCAGAGTGAGGACAATGGGTCCATAATTGATGCAGCAGATTATACAAGATTAGATATCGTTTTAGCAAGTAAAGAAAAATTTTGAATTCACAAGTAAAGAAAAATTTTGAATTCACAAGGAAGAGAAAAAAATCTCAAGAAACTAAATTACATTGCATAAAAGTTATTTTGTCCCCAAGGCATACAAACTTATTTATAATAAATTAAACCTTAAGAAAACAAGGAATTAGGCTAATTTCCTTGTTAGACACGAAAGTAAACAAAAAAATTACCTAAAATAAAAAAACAATTGAGTTAAGCCCAAATCTACAAACTAGAAAACAATAAAAACGCGCCAAAATAGAAGGAGCTAAAAACGGACTTCTCAAAATAAAATTATTTTCAAAACGAAACTTTTCTAAGCAATGGAATTTGTCTAAAATCCACTGTTCATCATTGCCGAGAACAACAATGACTTTAATTTAAAACACCTTTTCCGATTAGACTATCGAATTTGAAATAATACCAAACTTGTCACAAAAGTGTCACTATTACTCTCAATTTGACTTCTTCCTTGCTTTTTACCGGGTTCAATTGTTCCAAGAATTCTTCCTCTACTTGTTCTACATCAATAACAATGGGTGGTTCATAGCAAGGGGGCTCAAGAATGGCTAGTTATATATAGAGAGGTGTATATGAGAAATTATAATTGTCCAAAACAATAATTTAATTTAGGAATAAAATTATAATTCAAAAAAACTTATTCCAAGTGCATGAACTTAGTTTCTAATTTTGCACACCAAATATACAAAATCAAATGGCGCACTACAACCACAGTTGTGCAACTTGTATGACCCATTTTGATAATTCGAATCGTTTACTTTTTAAAATATATTGAATAAAATATATCTATACAAAAATTAAATTGATCAAATATCATTAACCCGTTTATCAAATCACATTTATATTCAATCTTATACTTTAAATTACACTTATTATTGAATACAAACATCATTTGATGAAAGAATTACAAGAAGTTAGTATGAATACAAACGTCATTTGATGAAAGAATTACACTTATTATCCAATTAACTTAATTTTTTACCTATAAATTCTACTTAATATACCTTAAAATATGAGAAGTTAGGATTACAAAAATGACCGCAATAAGCCATACAACAATAGTTGTGCGCCATGCATATCAACCACTCCGATCCTATATTTTTGGTGCGCAAAACTAGAAACTACGGTTATTCATCCCTAACTACTTATGACCTGTCCTAGACCTCGTTCCCTGTTGTAAATTTTTCATTTTTCATTATTTTTTTCTTTTTCTTTTTTTTGGTGGTGCTTTTCCATCCAACTTAGCCGTACATTTCAGGATCCCCAACTATGCTACAATCACATTCACTTAAAAACCCGAACACACACACCCCCCTCCCTATGAGCGTGTGATTGTGCATGTAAGAGGGTGTTGCCAACTTTTTCATTCCCCCAACCCCCTACCCCACCCGTATAATGCTAGATACCCATCAAATATCTCATGTGACTATGAGACCCACCTGGTGTGAGTCACACTACCATGTAAAACATTTTGTAAAAATTTTGATAATTTTTTGAAGTCATTTTCCTTCCACAAAAGGGCACATACCATTAAATTCAGGATGGCTCTGGGTGTTGATTGATGATATGGATAAATCAGGCAATTTTATGACAGCCCAACCCCTCTCTACTACTAAATCTTCTTCCGTAGAAACAACCAGAAAAATACTGTTCATAACAATTGATACCCCTGCTGTTAAAAAAAAAAAAAAGAAGGATAACATACAAGAGCCAAACTCCAACCTACCATCATCAGCAAAAAAAAAAAAAAAAAAAAAAAAAAAAAAAGAAGGATAACATACAAGAGCCAAACTCCAACCTACCATCATCAGCAAAATGAAAAGGTTTTGGTGACAAGGTTGTGGGAAACCTTTCCAGAGCATAGCCCTCATCTAAGAAAAGTGGAGGAGATGCCTCTTTCTGCTTCCTTTCTTTCTGAGTGTGTCAACTTTATGGTCCAATTATGCACTTGTTGATCCTCGAAACAGAGAACCCTTTTCCCCAGCATCTTCATCACGTCAATCGATCTTGACAGAGGAGTATATCTTCCGCACAAACCAGAAGCAAGCGTAGAAGCCAATTGTACCCGTCAAGACAAAGAAGGCATATGAGACAATTAACATGTACCCAAAGTAGAGGATTCCTGAAACTAGCTTTGTGATCTCCAACTTGGTAAAGAAGTAGAAGATAGAGTAAAGGAAAAGGTATAAAGCAGAAGAGCCGGCTGTCAGGTATGCCCTCCACCACCAGTAGTAGTCTTCACTGCACAATTGGAAATAGCAGAGCACAATTGCTATCTCAGCACATGTGATAATAAGGATAACAAAAACTATGAATAGGAAGCCGAAGATGTAATAGAACTGGTTCAGCCATATTGATGTCAGGATGAAGAACAACTCGATGAAAACAGCCCCAAATGGAAGAATGCCTCCAATTAGTATAGAGAATACGGGTTTCATGTACCACGCCTGCTCCGGTATCTGCCTTGGGATTTTGTTTGTCTTCACTGGGTCTTCAATAGCTGGTTTTTTAAATCCCAAGTAACTGCCCACAAACACCAGGGGTACCGATATGCCAAACCATAAGCACACAAGTGCAAACATAGTCCCAAATGGTACAGCTCCTGAAGATTTCTCCCCCCAGATTAAGGCATTCAGCACAAAGAAGATGGAAAACAGAATACCAGGAAACATAAAAGCAGTTTTTAAAGTATTTCTTTTCCATTCAGTGCCCTTGAACATTTTGTACAGACGTGCCGAGGTGTAACCACCAAATAAGCCCATGAAGACCCATAAGAGAACCATGGCAGTCATAAGCCCACCTCGGTTGGAGGGTGATAAGAAACCAAGGACTGCAAATATCATGGTCACAAGAGCCATCGCAAAGAGCTGCACACCCGTCCCAACATAAACACAGAGTAAACCAGAATTAATTGGCGCCCTAAAAACATCACCATGGAGAAGTTTCCACCCTGTTTCTTCCTGAGCTTCATCCTGTGTTTCCAATTGATTATAGTTTGCAATATCTCTGTATAGAGTTCTCATCATAATCATGGCAACCATGCCAGAAAGGAAGAGGACAATCATCAGAGAGTTTATGATGGAGAACCAGTGGATCTGATCATCATTCATGAGGAGGTAAGTGTCCCACCGTGATGCCCATTTGACATCACTTTCCTGGATGGGGAAATAACATAATCAAATTAAGGCAGAAGCCATTAAAGGCCTGCATACATTGAAAAACTAAGGAAACAATTGCATGTTTGAGTGCTCAAGTAGAGAGAGTAAAGAGTACCTTGAAAGAAACATCATATGTAAATACGACCACCTTATCAGTATCAACTTCCTGCGGGACAGTGCTACCTTGAATTATATTTTTGGTGTTTTGGTTGCATGTTGTCAACTGAGGATTCTTCTCATCCCAATCCTTGTACTCATGATTAATACTGTTCAAACAATAAATAAGATAAGAATTAAAATAAAGCAACACACTTGACAAACCACAGAAAGCAAGTCTATTTGATAAAAATCCTTGCTTGTTACATCCTCACCAACGCAACACACAGGCACCAATAAGTTGGAATTATCTTCTTTGTAAGGCAAATATTCATGAACGAAGGGATAAGTTATTTAAAAAATTGAATTGCAGGATCAATCACTTCTAACAGAGAATCTCCAAAAAGGTGGAGGGAAAAAAACATCTACGGAAACTTATGAACAAACTAAAACAGGAAATAAAGTTCCAATATTTATAGTTTAAAAAACAAGTGATGACAATGAAAGATCACCTCATATCAAGAACTATTTTATACCTTATTCAGTAGAAAGTTTAACTGCATTGCTAAATGCCTGGTGACCAGATGGACTACATACCCAAACCATCAGACCTTACACTAGAAGAGAAATGCAAAATCTCACCATAAATGAATCAGAAGTAAAAAGCAAGAACCTGTTTGGAGTAATCTCAAAGCTAACAATTCGAGCGGAATCAGTCTCAAGATCCTTGTGATACATGACTCTAAAGCTCAAGTGGTTATTTATAAAATACTTCTCCTCTTTGCTCTGTAAAAGCATACCCAAAAAAAATAATTAAAAAATACGTATTAACAAAAGAACACTACAGCAGCAGTTGTCAATCGCTACTCACCCCTGCATAATTTCCTTTGAACCCCACACGGAAACCATGTTCATAAGTGGTTGACGGACTGCCATCCCTCCTTTGTCTCAGAACAGCGACTGGCAGATTATCCAGAATCCTGTAAACCCATCTCAGAATTTCAGTTAAACAGAAAACTAAGTAAAATTAAAGGCTTGCTTAAAACTTACCCATATATATATACACACATTTAAGGCCTGCTTAAAAGTTTATGCTGCCATTGGCAATAAAAACAACAAATAAATTTGTAGACAAAAACACATGGCAACAAGGACATCACAAAAAATCCCAACAATAATTTATCAATGGATAGGACTCTCAATACACTAAAAAATTACTAAACAAAGGAAGAAAAGTAGGATTCATAATTCAAAAACAATGAAGGTGCACTCAATTCAGCATACATGTTAACTCTATATTCATCGTCAATTTTTTCCTTAAAATTCTTTGCAGATTCAGCATCAAGCGTAACTCGACAGGCTACTTTGCATGGCTGCTCCTCCCTCATATTGAACTGCAATAGATTTTGAAAACTTATGGTGACAAGTCAGGAGAGGAAGAGTAGCATCCAAGCATTTCTTTTTGCAGTATTACCAACAACCGGTTAAGAGAAAAGGAATAGTAGTAGACGCTCACAGTGTACATAGAATTCTCTATGCGGTCACCTCGAAGAACCTCCCCCAAATTTTCAGCACTATTCATAATTTTGGTAGGTTTACAGTACTTCAAGAAATAGTAGTCATATGGAAGTTGTGTCTTTGTAGATGACAACTTGTTCACTTTAACTTGAAGGGGATCACCCTGTTATAAAGACAACAATGATACAAAACAGCAATAGATTATTACAGAGCAGCAACAGTTATAATAAATAAATAAAAAGTTCTGCAATAGCATAGATTCTTACCAACATCCCTCTTACAACCCCCTCCCCGTTAGTTTTTCTCATCCCACTCGAAGAAGAAAAATAAAATTAGCTAATAGGAGGGGTTTTTTTTTTTTAAACACCCCCCCCCCAACCCAAAAAAAAAAAAAACACATATATTGTATAAGCCTACAAGGCAAAGTCACTCACATCTTGCCAACTAATATTTCACCTCCATCCAAGTCAAATCCTGGTAAAGCACCTATTTAATCCTGAGTCCAATTACAATCTAATGAAAATCTTAGGTATTTCCGTGAAAAAATAAAAATAAATAAACTTATCAAAACAGCTTTAGCCATAGGAACCGAAAGATTTCTCCACACAGACCAACAAATAACATGTAGGTAGTATGACAAGGAGTTGCAGGCTCTGCAAGTTACGATGCACATTTCCTTGGAGGACTTCAAAGAAGTTGGTTGGCAACTCCCATGTTCTGGTTTCCACAAGTTTGAGGAATGATCTCTTTAGGGACTTAATACCACCTCAATGTCTAGGCTGTTAATTTCACTTCATGCATTCTCTCTCTAACAAGTATACACATTACAAAACAAAACAACACAATCTTAATGAAATCTCTCACCAAAAATTTGTATGCTTTCTATGTAACATGAAAACCATCCTAAGATCCATTGTCTATTCTCATATAATTCTGGGTAACTAGCTGATGACCCTCAACTCAATGATCATTCATCAAAACACAGAAAATAAACAACATATTATACACAAAAACATATACATATATGCTAATGCCAAGTTATCAAAAACTCGAATATCATCAAAGTGAAAAATGTAGGCAATTACAAACATTTTGTATTTCAATCTCATCGAAAAACCACAAATGGGTAAAAATGTAAAATGATTTTGACAGGGAAGCAGGAGTAGAATTTCCAAGCAAAACCCAAACCCAAACCCTAGATCCAAGCACGCTGCCGTGGAAACAATAGATCTAAAGTAAATGCCAGGAGAGATCAAAATTGAAAACCGTAGATCCAAATATTGTATCGATTAGAATACAAAAGTCAGAATTTTGAAGTCACAAAAAAAGCAATTTTGTTCATAATAAATGGTGGACCAATGTCTAGCAATACATTTGGAAGAACAGATCAAAAGAATTAAAGAAGAAAACAGAGAGAGAGAGAACATACCCTTTGAAAATCGCGAGGAGCGACACCGGGAAGATAGAACGAGTGGGCAGATGAGATTAGAAGCAGGAGAGAGAAGAAGAGAGTGGTCACCCGAGCTGAGCTACTCCCCATCTTCGATGAGAGAGAGAGTCTGTGTATGTTTGTGTGTCTTCGCGCTTCCGTGTTTCAGTGGAGAGGAAAGAGCCGAAGAAAGATCGAGAGAAAGGCCATCTGAGATAATCTACACACGGGCCAACATTTAAAATAATTAATTACTAGGGGTTATATAATAAATAGGCGGTGTTTGGCAAGACGTGGGTTTGGGTTTTTTTTTTTTTTTCTTTTTTTTTTCACTAAAAGACAGTTTTTGCAAAATAAAAAAAAAATCAATCTAAACAAAATATTATATCTAACTCCATAATCATTTCATTTTTTTTTTTCACAAACATCACATCTAACCACAAAAAAACTCAACTATCTTTCCAAACATTAAAAAAAATTTCTCCAATAATATCCTATAACTAAAAAAACTTACATAAAAACCTACTTCCCAAACACTCACATAATTGTATCAGCATGCCCTTTTTTATTTACATATATAAAATTCTATATAAACTTGATTTCAATTCTATTAAGTGTCATTTTGAAAAGATTAGTAAAAAACAACATTTTGTTGAATGTGAAAAAACGCAGAGGTGGCCGAAAACGCAACAATACTATTTGGGAAGTGATAAAAACTCTGCCCTGTGAAATTACATAACTACTCTCTATCTTAACAAATTGGGGCCTAGTGCAAAATATTAGCTCATTCTTTTCTCCTCCCCGCTATTGTGCTTTCCTCCTCTCGCCGCTGCCCTACTCTCTAACTCCCTTTAACAACGCATGACATATCCGTCGCTAGCCAACGCTGCCTTTGGAATCGTCGTCCACGTACTCGCCATCGTCGGATCTGCAGGATCAGGTAAGCCTAGAAACCCTCTTCCGTTGTGGTCTGTTTGCAAGTTTGTGCTGAACAATTTTCATGGAAAATTCGTTAAAAAAATAAGGGATATATATATACAACCCTCTAGGATTAGGTAAGCCAAGAAACCCTCAGCATTTTGTTTGCAACCCTCTGTGATGTCGTATTTCTGATGTTTGGGTGGAGATTCTGTGAACACGGACAAACGACACCATGTCTGTTCCACTACAGAGTTCGCCCATCGCTGCTACTTCCGACTTTGTATCGACCAATGTACAAATAATTTTAACAAAAAAGAGGTTGCACAGAGGCTGGATGCTTCTATTCAAAAAATCCTTCTGTTATAATTTTTTTTTTTTAAATGACAAAATCAAGACTTGTCATTGTGGGAGCCGAATAAATGGCAAGATCAGAAGGTGCGTACCTTAGAAGACTGATATTAATCGGCTGTATCCTACGAGAATGGGAAGCCGAATACAATACATATGCCGAATAAGTGTAGATCCTTAGAGCCGAATAAGAGAAAGGACAACGATTAAAAAGTAAGCCCTGACCCCGAGGATCAAAAAGAACAGGTATAAATATAGGAACAATGGATTGAGAAAGGTATGTAAGAATCACTTCACTTAACTTTGAAAAGACGCTATCATGAGTGTCTGAACTGACTTGTCCGTCGGAGTGCTAATTCTGGCACCCCCGACCGGAGCGTTTGTATCTTTTCAGGTGACTAGCTAAGGATCACTAGCGTCTCCCAGGATCTAAAGAGTATTTCCAAACCTCTTTCCCCACAATTGGCGCCGTCTATGGGAATACTCAAATACATCCATGGCAGGCGTGACTGAAGATCCTCCGATAGCCACTGACGAGGACCGCACAGGGAGATGACCTCACTCCAGCAAATATGCTCGGAAAGGAAACCATCGCTGCAAGACGCGCCTTGAACTTCGACTCACCAACAACTTCAGCACAAGAGACAATGCGAGCGATCATGGAACAAGCAAAGCAGAATGAACAAAGGCTGGAGAACATTAACGCTGAAAATGAACGTCTCCGTCAAGATTTGGCCCTGGAAGTAGCAAAATCCAGAGAAGCCGTGCGCCAAGATCCCGAACGACTTCCAAGGGCAGGTGGACAACGACCTCGAGCCCGACCAAAGGAGACTGATAGCGACTTCAACTCATCACCCATGGAGCTCAACAAGAAGGGACGATCCGAAACTTCCAGCTCCTCCGAAAAGAGTCTACATACAAGGAACAAGCACAGAAGAAGCAGTTCAGATGAAGAAGACCAGCACGATCCTTTTGTCCGACGGATCGCAAGGACGCCCCTGCCCAAGAAGTTCAAGGCTTCGTCATTCACTCTTTACGACGGAAAATCAGACCCCACTGATCATATCTGTCACTATAAGCAAGCCATGACATTGCATGCAGACAACGAAGCCCTCATGTGCCGAATATTCCCCCAGCAGCCTGGGGCCATTAGCTGTCAGGTGGTATTACAAGCTGGAGCCAGCTTCGATCAAAAGCTTCCATCAATTATAGAAATCCTTCAGGGCCAGGTTCATCACCAACGAGGTACAGTCGAAACAAGCCGACTCCCTCTAGGCTATGCAGATTCAGTCAGGAGAAACGCTTAGAGCGTATTCGGCGCGCTATTGGGAGTGCTTCAACCTCGTCGACAACGCTTGCAACGACTCTATGGCCATCGCCGCCTTCAAAATGGGACTACATCCCGACAGTGCTCTTCACAGTTCCTTGACCAGAAGACCTTCCAAAACAGTCTGGGCGTTGATGAAGAAAGTTGAAGAGTATTGCAAAGTGGAAGATGATGCCTTGAGAATAAAAGCCGGACAAATGTCCACCAAAACGGCCCCCCTCGAAAGTGCTCAACCAATAAGTTCCGTGCCACCTCCGAGCCCTAAGCCATGACAACACGCTAAACGAGACAAAAGGCGGGATTCTCACCGATCAAGTGATCAATGCTCTCATCGGGTGAATGAACAATTGCAAGTCGATAGCAGACGCTCGAGGCGTGCTGACAAGAAGTACACAGAGTTGTCAGAACCAATCACTGCAATAATGACCAAAATCCAGCACCTTCTATTCTTCAAATGACCGTTAAAGATGGTGGGCCCACCCGACATGCGAAGAAGGGATAGGCGGTGCGAGTATCACAAAGATCACGGCCACGAAACCGAGAGCTGTTACGCATTAAAGGATCACCTGGAAGAACTGGTGCAAGACGGCCGACTGCAACAGTACGTGAGAAAGGGAAAGCCAATCCAGGCATTAGCCTTGAGGCAGGACTCACCTCCACTTGGCGTGATCCATATAATCTACAGCCTGCCTGTGTCCCTAACCGTGCACACAATTCAATCGCATCCAATCCTCCAAAAGCAACGTATTCCGACCGAATGGCCCAGAGAAGCTCCAACAATTACTTTCAATGACTCCGATCTTAGCGGCACAACAGCCTCCCACATCGATCCGTTGGTCATCAAATTATGCGTAAAACGGTTCACCATTGAATGTATTCTCATAGACCCAGGGAGTATAAAACTTTCATCAAACTCGGCTTCAACGAGTCATATCTGTCTCCAGCGCCACACCCATTGTTCGGCTTTAATACGAATCCTGAGTACCCGTTAGAGAAGATCATACTACCTGTTCGAGCAGGCTCCAGAACGGTCGAAGTAGAATTCCTGGTCGTAAAGCTCCCTTCGCCGTATAATGTCATCATGGGGCGAACCTGGTTACATATTATGAAGGCCGTTCCAAGCACTTATCATCAGCTTGTGCACTTCCCGGCAGCCCATGGCATTGAAGAAATCCGTGGCTCCCCGCAATCGGTACAAGCAGAGATTCTATGAAAACCCTATCACTGACCCGACCTGACCTGTGGGCTTTGATACTTGTATATATATCACTTCTGCAATGCAAACCATTTTTCTTCGTTGCTCAATTCATTTCTCGGAGCCCCTTTTGGTGTATGACACCTTAGGGCCGACTAAGTCTTTGGATTCGGAGCGCCCTTCGTGGATATCACGATTGGCCAAACCAAGTCTCCGGATTCGAAGCCCCCTTTGGTGCATGACACCTTAGGGCCGACTAAGTCTTCGGATTCGGAGCGCCCTTCATGGATATCACGATTGGCCAAACTAAGTCTCCGGATTTGGAGCTCCCTTTGGTGGATGACACTTTAGGGCCGACTAAGTCTTCGGATTCGGAGCGCCCTTCGTGGATATCACGACTGGCCAAACCAAGTCTCCGGATTCGGAGCCCCCTTTGCTGTATGACACCTTAGGGCCGACTAAGTCTCCGGATTCGGAGCGCCCTTCGTGGATATCACGATTGGCTAAACTAAGTCTCCAGATTCGGAACCCCTTTTGGTGTATGACACCTTAGGGCCGACTAAGTCTCCGTATTCGGAGCGCCCTTCGTGGATATCACGATTGACCAAACTAAGTCTCCGGATTCGGAGCCCCCTTTGGTGGATGGCACCTTAGGGCCAACTAAGTCTCCGGATTCGGAGCGCCCTTCGTAGATATCACAATTGGCCAAACTAAGTCTCCGGATTCGGAGCCCCCTTTGGAGGATGACACCTTAAGGCCGACTAAATCTCCAGATTCGGAGCGCCCTTCGTGGATATCACGATTGGCCAAACTAAGTCTTCGGATTCGGAGCCCCCTTTGGTGCATGACACCTTAGGGCCGACTAAGTCTCCAGATTCGGAGCGCCCTTCGTAAATATCACGATTGGCTAAACTAAGTCTCCGGATTCGGAACCCCTTTTGGTGCATGACACCTTAAGGCCAACTAAGTCTCCGGATTCGGAACGCCCTTTGTGGATATCACGATTGGCCAAACAAAGTCTCCGGATTCGGAGCCCCCTTTGGTGCATGACACCTTAGGGCCGACTAAGTCTCCGAATTCGGAGCCCTCTTTAGTGCATGACACCTTAGGGCCGACTAAGACTCCAGATTCAGAGCGCCCTTCGTGGATATCACGATTGGCCAAACTAAGTCTCCGGATTCGGAGCCCCCTTTGGTGTATGACACCTTAGGGCCGACTAAGTCTCCGGATTCGGAGCCCTCTTTAGTGCATGACACCTTAGGGCCGACTAAGACTCCGGATTCGGAGCGCCCTTCGTGGATATCACGATTGACCAAACTAAGTCTCCGGATTCGGAGCCCCCATTGGTGTATTACACCTTAGGGCCGACTAAGTCTCCTGATTCGAAGTGCCCTTTGTAGATATCACGATTGGTCAAACTAAGTCTCCGGATTCGGAGCCC